ATCCCTACCCCCACCACCCCGCCTCCTTCCCCTGCAAGGTAGTCATAGATGTCTGATGCAATTAGGATGACCTTTATATGGCCGTACTGTTCATATTTTTATCTTTGTTCAGGGTTCTGTCTTGACTTGTAACAATGTCTGTCTCTGTATGTACAGAAAAATGCAAATGAATTGATAAGAGAATGTATATAACTGGCCAAAATGGCATCATATTTTCAAAGCTGTTTGTCAGTCTTCGCTGTACCATGAATAAACTTCCTTCAGTATTGTCTGTGCCTGCCTGATTCTTGAGGAAAATAATCTTTTGCCTAACAGTTTTGGTGCAGCAAGCAGGGTGTGATCGAGAATCCTCAGAGATGTTGGTAGAAGTGAGTACCTTTTAACTTACCACCTCTAGTGCACACCTTGATTTGGGACTCCCCGAGGCACGCCTCCACACCCCTTTTTAAATAGGGACCACATATAGGACTGTAGCGAAGCGATGACTCCCCGGTGTGATGCCTCCTGCTGGTCATCCAGGGAATTAGCTCTTTTCCAGCGTTGGAGTGCCCTCTGCAGGCCAATGTCTCATTTGCCGCTGGCCCCATGTCCCTACTGGACCCCAGTGTCCTTTACCCTGGGGTTCTGCCCCAGCAGGACCCCCACACTCTGGATCTCCCCTCCCAGGGGAACCCCCAACCCTCTAAACCCACCTTGCCTCAGTGGCTACTGCAAGTCATCATCTAACCCCAGCTCACTGAGGCAGACTACAGTCTGTAATGGCCACTCATCATTGGCAAGGGGTCGGACCAGCTGCCTCTGCCTATCTCTGGGCTGCCCCTCTGCAGCCCCAGTACCTTTGTAGGCCTTCACCAAGGCTTGCAGCTGGGGTTTCACCAGGCTGGAGCTCCTCAGCTCCCTCTGCCCTTCCCTAGCACTACTCCTCCTCAGGTACCTTGCTCCCAGGCAGCTAGCCCTTCCCACTCCAGGGCTAGAGTGAGACTTCCCCAGCATCTGGCCCACAGCCCTCTTATAAGGGCCAGCTGGGCCCTGACTGAGCTGGCCACAGCTGTTCTCACTCACTCACTCAGCTTCCCTCAGCTGTTCTCACTCCTCTTCCCCCAGCTGCAACCCTCTCCAGGGCTGCTTTTACCCCTTCAGGGCTGGAGCAGGGTGACCACCCCGCTACAAGGACACACAGGCAAGAGGACTGAATGGGACTGTGTTTGTGGCCAAGATTGTTGGGGTGCAGGGATCGCTGGAGGTGAAGGCTGCACTGCCAAGTACTGAGCACCAGAGGGTGTGCTGCAGTAAACTGAGGACAAGGGGGTGCTCAGTCAGCCTCCCCTGAAGCACCGCTTAAGTGGGTTTCAGGAAGCTGGGATACAATGTCTTATGAATTGCCTCAGAATGCGTCAACGATACCCTCCATGGGAGCGGGACGGGACCCGCTGGCGTGCCCCAGGGTGCACCAATGATACTCTCTACAGGAGGGAGTCGCATTGATTGGCCCTGGGGAACATCAATGATGCCCTCTACGGGAGGGAGACTCATTGATTTTATGAAAGGGAAACATAAGAAGGTTCAAAAAACGATGGCAAAAGATGGATGGAATGAGGGTATGAGTACGATGAATAGCGAGTTGTGATGGTCTGGTCAGACGAAAGGAAGATTAGGGAAAGGGATTGTAATAATGTATTGTGAATATGAAAGAAAATTACAGGAGTTGGAAACACTTCAAAAAACTCTTACATCAGAGCTGAATCAAAAAACAGATTTCAACCACAAGCTAAGTCAGCTTGAAGCAGAGAACAAGGCTCTAAAAGCAAAACTAAAAAAAACAAACAACTCCTCTCCATGTCGTATTGTTGCTAGCATACAACAGAAGGGTAATTTTACTGGTCCTGACTCAAGCACTGATAAATCATACTGATAAAGACCAAAACAAAATTAATTGGAAACAACTTTAGAAACAAATTCAGAATTGGAACCTGGCACACACGGGGGAAGATCAAAATAATTGGCCTCCTCCTCCTCCTCCTCCTCCCCTCCCTTCTAACCCAGAATTAAGTACCAGTGCTCTCTTGGCCCCTCTCCAAGTGACCACTCAGTGGTCAGGGACAGATGAAAACAGAGTGGCTCATAATACTTATAAGTACACTCCTCTCAGCACAGAGGAAATGAGGGACTTACTGAAAGATCTCCCTGATCTAAAGCCCAAAGACCCAAATTTGATACTCTGGAAAAGAATGCGCCATCTCAACCAGCTGCCAACCCTTACTCACACCTAAGCAAAGAGGAAATGGCCAGGCTTTTAAATTCCATGACCCAGGATCATTCTAGGATCCAGCCCCCCCCCCCCCCCCCCCGGCTTGCCTGTCAGTACTACTGATGCAGATGTAAATACCTCAGGGCCACACTTACAAGCATGGATAAGGGGCCGGCCATGCACAATTCTCATGGACACGGAAGCATCTGTTTCCATTACTGACCTCCCCCTCCCCATTACTAAACAGTATATTACTATTTCAGGGGTAGGAAGTGCAGAACTCATGGCTTATAAAAGCTATCCTGTTCTTGAAAAATCTAATCTATTCTGCTGGACTGAGTCTTTTTTTTTTATGTAGCTCCAAATGCAGAGGGAACTATTTTGTGCATGAACATCCTCTGCGACCTTCCAGCAACTCTTAACCTCCCTAAGAGTACAGTTACTGATAAACTTATGCGTATTCATACCATCCCCCTCCGCAATGATACATCCCTCTCTTCTGTTGCAACTGCCAAATCTGTGGCTCTTACTTGGGATACATCTAAACCTTTTCAAGAATTATGTTCCAGGTGCCCCTCTGTTTGGGCAAAGAATAAGCTGTCTTGCAGTTTGGTGCCTGCTCGTCTCTGCCCACACATCCAGGTTACCAGACAACTCCCTTCACCTACCAAGCAATACCCTCTCAAATCTGAGGCCATGGATGCAGTCGGTAACATTATTCACTCTTTATTTCAGCAAGGCATACTGGTTCCTTGTGGAAATGCACCCTCTTAAGCCCAGGACCCTCCAGAAACCCCCTCTTGGGTGGACATACCGGAGGGAGAACAGGTCATGGTAAGACATACAACCCCGGGGTACTTCAGTCAAATATTCTGCTCCACACGTGGTATTGGCCCATACAAATACCTCTGTGAAGGTGCAAGGAATTCCAACATGGGTCCTTAAAACCAGAATTAAAATGTATAAATAAATTCATTTTGTTTATATTGTATCCTTTTAGGTAACAAATGTGACTCCCCACGTTAATCCTCCTGGCAAACATACCTGATGCAGCCTCCTGGGATCTGCTCTTGGTACATGTTACACAAGATACCTGTTTCAAAGCTGGCCAGTATGTGCAACTCCCTACAGGAGACAGCGGTGAATGGGTAAAGAAACCAGACACTTGGCTTACCCCCAGACCGGACCACCTGGAATCTATCGTCTTTACAACTCGCCTCCAAAAACATCCAGGCTCCAAGGTCTCAATCCGACTACCACAGCCTGGGAGCAGTCTTCGGCTCCCTCCCTGCATTTCATCGGATCTGGACTGTAACTGGGTATTTAGCTTCAGGGGATGTGAACACACACATATAGGACCCCCAATTTCGGGATGTAAGGTCATACAATTCTTGGGTCAAAGGTCAAGCCACCGAAGCCCTTAAGCATGCTAACACCGGCTTAGCTTATGCTCTCACTGCAGCTGATGTAGCCATAGAGGATTTTTACAACATCATTGAGAAACCCTCAGATGCTATAGTCAACCTGGTCAAGCCACAAGCTAAAGGTCGTGGTTGTGATATGCTGGCTCATGATCTGTTTAACATTGCAAAAAACATGTTAAATGTATGCCTGGGTTTTCCCCCTTCCCATTCCCTTTCTTCCCCCACCCTTGCCCACATTGCAGGCATCTCTACACAACTAATAGTAGCCTCTCTACTTCCTCCATACTCACCCTTCTCCTTCAATTTCCTTCTTGTGATCCTTCTGTCATTCTTAGTCATGTGTTTCCTTCTTCTTTTCATTTCAAGTCTGTTGGATATGTGGCTAATAATATGCTGTATAAAGTAAGGCTGTCTGGATACCTGACACCATCCCCTGACAATGCTACACTGATGACAACCTCGGATTGTTGCATAGAAACAGACAGTTACATCCTGTGCTCCTGTTCTACCCTTCTCCCCCTGACCTCGACCTCGTCTGTTGTTGTGGATGTCCTTCCTCTTCCAGATGGTGAAGTTGCTGTACAAGTATCCGCTACTCAGTGGTGTTTCATCACCGCTGCATCTTATTACAAGTACAGACCATTACAGTGCCAGGCAAATGCTTCCATGTGACTGCAGATTACTGACTCATTTACCTCAGGTGATGCGCACCTCTCCAGCCGTGTGTTCACTAAAATGACAGCGGCTCTTCGTGATACAACAACCTATACCTAGAGAACACACAGGTTCAACTGGCCAAGGAGCTACTACTCAAAGTGGTCCTGGCTGCTGCATCTGTGTTTACCACCGTTCATAACCATGTCACCAAAGGCTGCATTCAAGTCCAGCTCTCCAATCAAACCATCACCCAGTTGAAAGATCCTGTTTGTAATGGCATCTTACAACCCCATCTCCTGGTGGACAATTCTCCAAATAACAGCTGCCACTGCTTCTATATTTATGTTCCTAACCCCTCTTGTCATGTGTGGGTATTTTAGATACATGCTTAAAAATCTTACTATGTTTCCTACCTTTACCCCCTTCCCCCAACTCCCCTCTCCCTCCGCCTCCCTTGGGCAACCCTAAAACAGATCATGCATATTAAAGTATTTAAAATATTGACTTTATCTCACTTAATAGTTTGATTTGTCAAAAGGAGGGGAATTTTCAGGAAAGAGTTAAAATTTAGCTAACAGCTAAGACAGAAACTGCAGACCAAGCAGGAATGTTTCAGTAACTCAAAAGGCACTAACAACTGTAAACAATTGATAAGCTTATATATCAATGCCTGCCCAGTAACTCAGTTCTTAGAACAATGCTAACCCTCCCTTCACAACCCACCGGATAACTGTAAGCGTTCATCCCTACCCCCACCACCCTGCCTCCTTCCCCCGCAAGGTAGTCATAGATGTCTGCTGCAATTAGGATGACCTTTATATGGCCGTACTGTTCTTATTTTTATCTTTGTTCAGGGTTCTGTCTTGACTTGTAACAATGTCTGTCTCTGTATGTACAGAAATGCAAATGAATTGATAAGAGAATGTATATAACTGGCCACTATGGCACCATATTTTCAAAGCTGCTTGTCAGTCTTTCCTGTACTGTGAATAAACCCCCTTCAGTATTGTCTGTGCCTGCCTGATTCTTGGGGAAAAGAATCCTTTTGCCTAACAAAGGTAGGTAAGTTACTGGGAGTTTTCCTACTATAGGGGAGATATTTAAAATCATACATGATATAGTGATTAATCAGAATATAGCTAAAGAATTAATATTTTGGGCAGAGCTTGATGCCACAAATTACAGAACTGAGATGAACTTTCAAAACAATTATGGCATAGTCTTTTCATCTTGATTTTCCAGATGTTTCACATAAAAGGATGATAATGCAACAGACAGTTAAACCACTGACATGTGCCTGAGGACAAAAGATCTTTATTACATAGCAACAAGGTATCTATTTTTGAATGTATCAGTTCATAGGTCTTGCACAAATACTGTTTGCACTGTGCTGTAAATGGCAGGAGTGGGAGAGGGGAATAATGGGTTTTCTGTTCCATTAAAACCTTTCTACAATGGTCTTTTAAGGATGTGCCTTGCAATTTAAGATATTGAGCAGGCTTGCTGTGTGCACTGTGAACTACAGTACTATATTTAATGCTGCAGTATAAAGACCCATAATTGCAGGAGTGCATAGTTGCTGGAGATGTGCTTAGGATTTGATAGTAGTGTCACTACATATTTCTATCCATGAATGATGGGAGCCTTCCTGCAATTTCTAGATAATTACCTGTTTTATTAAAAGGTGTGATTCTTTGTTATGTGGTCCATGGCATGGGTTTTTATCAGGTTAACCCATGCCATAGCATGACAACTAAAGCAGTATAGCTCCAAGATGTATTGTTTGTGTTGAAATAGTTTGCAATTTTAAAGAGACTATTCAAAATTAATTATTTTGATTAAAGGACGCAGCATCCAAAGGAAGGCAGCAGAATTCCCATCTTCCCAGTTAGTATGCAGACATTTATGTTCACCGGACCTTTACCAAAATACCCTAATGAATCTCGGAATACTTTTCTTCACTGTGGAATTTTCATTAGCTATATATATTGTGACAAAGTTCCTCCTCTACCTTGCTGGGTCTTGCGCTTATTAACAGATTTGCTCACCTTGGAGCTTCACAGCAGCCCTCAGCTTGGCGGTTTTTCTGAACCCACAGTCCAGTTCGATTCCTCCTGTGTCTGACCAGGAGTTGGGAGGTTTGGGGGGAATCCGGGCCTGCCCTGTACTCCGGGGTCCAGCCCAGGGCCCTGTGGAATGCAGCTGTCTAGAGTGCCTCCTGGAACAGCTGTGCGACAGTTACAACTCCCTGGGCTACTTCCCCATGGCCTCCTCCCAACACCTTCTTTATCATCACCATAGGACCTTCCTCCTGGTCTCTGATAATGCTTGTACACCTCAGTCCTCCATCAGTCCATGTTCTCACTCTCAGCTCCTAGTGCCTCTTGCTCCCAGCTCCTCACATGCACACCACAGACTGAAGTGAGCTCCTTTTTAAAAAGGATGTAGATACTTAGGAGCCTAAGTGAGCTTAAGTGAGAAGTAATGTATAACAGTATTTTTATTAGGATCAATTACAATAGTATTTTGTTATTAGTAGAGACAGACTTAAATAGAAAACCTGACTCCTAACACATTTGCTTTACTGGCTTAGATATGGACCCATAGTTTGTAATCGTTATTATTGATCCAACCAAAATTCTGGTTTTGAACAACCCAGAGCCATGGGGGAAAGACTGCTGTCGATATCTTCCATTGGGGCCTGATTCAAAGCCAGTGGAAAACAACTGAAATATTTCCATTTACCTTCATGGACTTTTGATCAGTCCCTCGATGCTGGAACTGAGGGTGAGACTTGAGGGCCTGCTTGTAGCTTGTCTGTTCAAACCTATACTGGTAGTCCATGAGCATTTTCTGAAGAATTGCCACCTCTGCCCAAGCAGTGAACCCTCTACAAACAAATATGGACACCGAAGGCAATCGATATTGATTTACACCAGCTGAGGATCTGACTGAGTTCCTCAGGGTACAAGAATCCACTGTTAATCCGCCACTGTTTCTGAACGCCCCAGTCTTGTTGTTTGGAGTTTTTACTTAGATTTCTGTCTTGATATTATTTAGACATATTGAGCCAGACTCACCCTGCTGAATTGGCCCCACAGATCTGCTCTGCTGGAAACAACATCCTCTATCACATCCTAGTATTTTCAATGCAACAATGCAATGAGAATAACATTGTAAACATCATTTCTTTCAATCACTTACAGAAGCTTTGACTTCCATCTTAAGCCACTATTAATTTACACTGTGTCTGTCACATCTGAAATTTGGCAGCAAACCGGCACACTTTAAGTTCAATAACTGACCAAACATTTCTGGTTTGCTGATGTTCAAATTACCAGTTGGAATCATTCCTGGCATATTAATAAGTGCAATTATCCATGCCAATGTTACTTCTGCAAGCTGCAACTGACATATTGTAACTGAAAACTTATATTTTCTTTAATTATTGCAAGCATACGGAGATTAAGGCTAGGCATTTTGTTTTTCAATAAAATGTACTCTTCCTTTGATTGTTTCATTCAGCCCATTTCTATAGTTTGCAACATAACCCACAGGTTGCAAACCTAGGCCTGAAGTGTTCATGGCAGGTGTACACTCCAACCCTCCACATGGCAGCCTAGTGGCATACCTGGGACCCACAAAGCCCAGCCCCAGTATAAGGCTCCATCCTGAAGTCCAGTTGGCAAAGTCCTAGAGTGACTGATTGGCCCATTGGCTCTACTCAAGCCAGCAGCAGGAACAGGAAGGTGTCTGACGAACTTCATCCTGCTCCTGTGGCTTGATTTCCTGAAATCTGACTTGTGGTTACTGACCTCTGCTTTGTCCTCTGCCTCTGACCCTTTGGTATCTTGACACAGCCTGGCTCTGGTTCCTGACTTGTGGTTCTGAACTTCAGCTTGTCTCCTGCTTCTGGCCTCCCACTATCCTGCCCCAGCCAACTCTTGACTCTTGTCCCATGACTGTGGACTCTGGTCTACTAGGTCTGGCTGTCCATACTGCAAGCAGGACAAGTTGGTTGGAAGTTACTATTAGGACACTCGTTTTCATTAACTCCTATACCACAGCTACCACACCAACTGACGAGCTAGATTTTTAGAGCCCAATGGAAATATAAGGACTAAGTAATTGTTGTGGGTTGTAATTAGAAATGCCCCAAAGGTTGCATATTTAATCATAAAATGATAGATGATTGTCAATCAGAAGTTCTCACTTATGCTTTATATTGCATTCACTGCAGGGCCAGCCAAAGGAGAAAGTTCACCAAAAGGAACTATGGTAATATAAGGTGCTGACAGTAGGGGGACCTCAGCTATCCATTAGGCGCTAGAGACAATTCACTTTTTCACCCCTCTCAAGGGCCAGCTCTCCTCATCCACACATCTGACTCCCTGTATTATTGTACAATCTGTAGTGCACTCAGCAGTCCCCTTGACAATTATTTAATCTGTTCAAAGACTCAACCAGAACCTGTGATAACACTGTACCACATAGGCTGTGTTCCTCAGACTGCAAGCTAGAGAGGCAGGGTATGTGTGTCCATCCAGCATCCTAGATAAAGAAATTCCTTTGTGTTTACTACATCTGAGTTCTGTCTCATCTCTTATGTGAAAGAACCAGTACACAACTCCTTTCCCACATATGATCATGGACATTGAAATGGAAGAAAAAAAGGGTGCAAATTGTAGTTGTCTTGCTCCCCTGGTCTCTGTAAGCAGACTGACCTCACTCTGGTCCTGCAGCTCCTTTTATATGAGCCTCCCGGGTCCTCATTGGCTGCTCCCTGAAACCTCTCTGATTGATTGCTTCCCCTGCAGCCATTCTAGCCCACTTGGAGGACCTCTCCACTGCTCCTTTCCTGGCATGGATGTAGCAGGACCCTGAGGCCCCCAGCAGGTGGCCTTTTGGCCCAGTCCAGCCCATCACAGTGCCCCTTACCCAGCCTGGTCCTCTCTGTCTATCCATTCCATCTGATCAGTCCATTCCAAGCTGCCAGCAAATTACCCCGTCTTAACTTTTCCTTATTCATGGTTCCTTATGCAAGGGGAATTGGCTGGTTTAATACGACCACATCTACTAGTTAAAACAAAAGCTATTGATATACAAAGCTGAAGCAGCTCAGAAGTAAAGTTTGGGGCCTGTAGTGATGTATAAGTAATCATATTTCTAAAAGTCTCACTTACTTGCTGTAGAATGGAAACCAGGGTATCTGTTTGTATGGAAACCTAGCAGATAGGATTTCAAATTTGAATATCAGTCCAACATAAACAGATCAAAATGCCTGATTAGTACATGTTCCTTCACAGGTGGGGGCTATATATCCATAGTTTTAGAACTGAAAGTTAATGGGGACTTCAGGATATCTTTGTGTCTTTATAAAGGCTTCATTTCCTCCTGCCCCCTCAACCAATCTTACCCCTGTTTGTCCATATTGTACAATTCCTCCCCTAGCTGGGAGAACTGACCTGAACTACCCTTAATGATTAAACTACACATGGGGTCATGTATGAAGGAGATATTACCCGTACCTCCAGCATGCTAATAAAATATAAAAAGTGGGGCCAACTCTTGGTCATTTTATTCATACAAGTAAGATTTTCAAAAGTAAGGAGTGATTTTCAGTGACTAGAAAAGGAGTACTTGTGGCATCTTAGAGACTAACCAATTTATTTGAGCATGAGCTTTCGTGAGCTACAGCTCACTTCATCGGATGCATACTGTGGAAACTGCAGAAGACATTATATACACAGAGACCATGAAACAATACCTCCTCCTACCCCACTCTCCTGCTGGTAATAGCTTATCTTATAATGGTGGTCACCTTATCTTATAATAGATAAGCTATTACCAGCAGGAGAGTAGGGTGGGAGGAGGTATTGTATCATGGTCTCTGTGTATATAATGTCTTCTGCAGTTTCCACAGTATGCATCAATGAAGTGAGCTGTAGCTCACGAAAGCTCATGCTCAAATAAATTGGTTAGTCTCTAAGGTGCCACAAGTACTCCTTTTCTTTTTGCGAATACAGACTAACATGGCTGTTACTCTGAAACCTTTCAGTGACTAAAATCTTTAGGTGCTCAATTTGAGACATCAGGAAAAGGCTTTACTTTCAGAAAGTGGTCATGCAGCAATTTTTGAAAATCAGACCCTTTAAAGTAGTCTCATGTTGGTCACCTGAAAAATGAAGCATCAAAAATTACTTGTTATTTTTTGAAAATCTTAGCCATGAACTGCAGTGTCCAGCTGTAGTATACTGACAATGTGAGCAGGATTTGTCCCTAGGTCTCACTTTAAATTGTCAAAAATAAGGATTAAATTTAGAATTAATTTA